ATCATGCTCAGCGAAATAAACCAGAAAGAAAGAAAAATACCGGATGGTCTCACTCATAGCAGAAATCTAGAAAACTTAAATAAGGGACCAGGAAAATGAATAACTATAAGAAAGTGAAAATCAAAATCAACAAAAAACTATGAACCAGAGACACTTTTTGGGGGGTGGGGGGGGGAGGGGAGGGATTGGGGTCAAAATGGGGGGTTGCAATTGTATGGGGAATATAAAAATAAAATCTATTATTTAAAAAAATAATAAAATAAAATAAAATCAGTTAAAACCATTCAAAAAAAAAAGAACCCGTGCTGCAGAGGCTGCAGACAGCTTCACAGTGCAGCGCTCAACCGCCTGTACCACCAGGGAGGCCCTAATTTTAACTTTTTTTTAAAGATTTATTTATTTATTAATACAAGCACTGGGTACAGTTAGAAGCGTGGGAGGGTGAGAGAATTCACCAGAGCTAAAGCGGGGAACAGAACAGGCAGACTGATGAAATACACTGCTGAGGGGAGCAGCGACTGAGACAGGAGAGGTCTGTCGCTCCATTTGGGACCCTCGCCAGTGGCTGGGGATCGAACCGGCGCTGCAGAGCTGCGGGCAGCTTCGCAGCCCAGCACTCAACCGCTGCGCCACCAGGGGAGGCCCTATTTTTATATTTTTAATGAAATTTTCATACATATGCAAAAGTAAAGAAAGTTGGTATAATAATATCCATGTATTCATCTCCAAAGTGAGGGGTTTTTTAATGCTTTTTTCCCAAGACATTTTGAAATCTTGGACCAAAGAATAGACTGAATAAAGGTCAAATTTGAAAATATTTCTGAGGTAGATTTGCTATGTTCTTTGGATAAGAGGTGAAAGAACGAATTTATAGTAAATTTCAAATTTCTCGTTTAAGAAACCATGCTAGGGGGCCTCCCTGGTGGCGTGGGTTAAGTCTTAGCACTATGAAGCTATCCTCAGCCACTGCAGCATGAGTTCAATCCCCGGCCAGGGTGCTAACCCACATAGTGCAGCAGACCTCTCCTGTCTCTCCCGTTGCTCCTCTGAGCAGTGTGTTTCAGTCAGTCTGCCTGTTCTACTCCCTACTCTGTCTCTGGTGAATCATCGTACCCCTGCCACCCCATACCTCTGGCCTGTACCCCAGTTCTTGTATGCATCAATAAATAAATCTTTTTTTAAAAAAAGAAACCAGGCTGGGGCCTCCCTGGTGGCGCAAGGGGTTTAGCACCGCACTATGGGGCTGTCCGCAGCCTCTGCAGCACGAGTTCAATCCCCGGCTGACCAGGGAGCAGCCCACATGGCGCAGCGGACCTCTTCTGACTTGCCTACTACTCCCCTCAGCAGTGTACTTTGGTCAATCTGCCTTTTCTGTTCCCCACTCTATTTCTGGTGAATCCTCCCCCCCCACCCCGCATCTCTGGCCTGTACCCCAGCTCTTGTATGCATAAATAAATAAATATTTTTTTTAAAAAACAGGCTAATGATAATACTAATTGAGAGCACAGAGATCCAAGAGGCTTACAGTCTTATGTAGTGTCTGCTTAGCTGCCCTCAATACAGCTTCCTCAGTTCTCAAAATACTGTAAGATATGAAAAGTTGTGACAATAATGTGTAGGAACTCAGAAGGTTATCTGCCTTATTCTTTAGGACACAACTGAGATACAAGCACCCTGACCTCACCTTGTGGAAACAGGAATGCCTTGGAGAAAGATACTGAGTCATTACATCCCATTGTAACTGACTCAGCTACCCAAAGCCTGCACCAGCCAGGGACTTGGCATCCCTCTCTCCAGAACATCATTTGATGTTTTGGGGACTAGAATGGTATCAGTCCTCTTAGTCTCTTCTCCTTAATTTTTCTCTATTTAAGGATACTGGGCTCCTGTTGGGCAGGCTGAGTATTAATGGCATTACAGCACAGGAGACATCGTCCACACAAGTAGAGTATTATAGGCTGGGCATGGAAGGAATTCCTGCCCACAGGACATGATAGAAGTCACCATTTCTTAGAAACATTAATTCAGAGAACTAGTGAGGAAGGGGAATTTGGGATGCGGTTAGACTAGGGCTGCAGTGGTAAATGTCCCCAAGAGTTCTTAGGCATCACACAAATGAATTTGACTATAGGGTGAGAACTATTTATATTTCTGCCAGCTAAAAATCAAGATATAAACCCTAACTAACAATATAGGGCCCATGAGAGAACTTCACAGGTTAAGACTGAAGAATGCTCATTGGGAAGGTCCACTACAAAATGCTAATAGAGTGCAAAAATATCATTGCCTTTATATATTCTGAGCAAAATATCAAGGGAAAAATAAACTGAGATGAAAAAGAAAATAGGTATGAAAGGAAAAGACTATAAGGCAACAATACAATAGGCAGGAATTAATTACATAAAGAAGGCAAAAAGGGGCCTCCCTGGTGACGCAGGTGGTTGAGTGCAGCGCTGTGAAGCTGTCCCTGGCCTCTGCAGTGCGGGTTTTATCCCTGTTGGCCTCGGAGCAAACCACATGGCGAGCACACTTCTCCTGTCTCACCCGCTGCTCCCCTCAGTCTGCCTGTTCTGTTCCCCTCTCTGTCTCTGGTGAATCCAATCACCCTCCTGCTCATCTGGCCTGTGCCCCGGCTTTTGTATAAATAAAAAAATAAAAATAAAAGAAGGCAAAAAGCAAAATTGTTAAGGACAAAATCTTCCACAGAGGGCAGCTTTAAAGAAAAAACAATTGTTGAAAGAGTTGAGATAGAGATTAGAACCAAAATAATAATAACTAAATTTCTTGAAAACCAGGACAAATAAAACAAGTGATAATTCAGTGAGTTGTTATTTTCTGCAGCTTTACTCTGTGTTAGGCACTTGTGTACTTTAATCCTTATGACAGTTCTCAGAGAGGAATCATAGCTCTATTATGCAGTAGATTTGATTTGCAGCAAATCACCCTAGGTCACATGCTAAGCAGATACTTGCTTATTAAAAGAAAAATTTACCCATCTTCAATGACCTGTGTTGTGGAGAAACATAGCAGATGTACTGCCTTCTTGGCAACACCAGTGGTCACATATGGATCACTCCTAAGTTTTGTGAGTACACTATTTTTTATTCCCTAGATAATTTATCGTCTCTTTGCCACTGATTCCTAAGGGTAAGGCTTTTTTTTTTAAAGATTTATTTAGGCATACAGGAACTGGGGTACAGGCCAGAGGTGTGGGGGGGTGAAGGGATTCACCAGAGACAGAGTGGGAAACAGAACAGGCAGATTGACTGAAATACACTGCTGAGGGGAGCAGCGGGTGAGTGAGGAGAGGTCTGCCGCGCCATGTGGGCAGCTCCCTGGCCCGGGATCGAAATTGTGCTGCAGTGTCTGCAGATAGCTTTATAGTGCTGGCACTTAACCCTTCACGTCACCAGGGACGCCGCTAGAATTCCTCCTTTCTTACCAATTTAATTTTTAAAATATATGAAACATTAATATGACTTAAATGTTTCCTCAGAAAAGTTTCATTCCCTTCCTTACCCTTTATTTTGTTTCTGCCTGCCCTCTAGGAAATAATTTCATTACTATCTGTTTTATTCTTCTGTTTCCTTTTGGAAAAATAAATAAGTGAAATTATATATATAAGTAATACATATGTGTATATATATTCGTATTTGTATATTATCCCTTCCCTCCATTCTTAGCTCTTTTTTTTTTTTTTTAAGATTTATTTATTTATTTATACAAGCACTGGGTACAGTCAGAAGCACGGGTGGGTGAGAGAGCCAGTGCGGGGAACATAAAAGGCAGACTGACGAAGTACACTGCTGAGGGGAGTAGCAGATGTGGCAGGAGAGGTCTCCGCGCCATGTGGGACCCTCGCCGGTGGCCGGGGATTGAACTGGTGTTGCAGAGGCTGCGGGCAGCTTCATAGCCCAGCGCTCAACCACTGCGCCACTGGGGAGACCCCTTAGCTCTTCTTTTTCATGGAAGTCTATTCTTATGGAAGAGATGGTATACTATATATATATTCTTCTTCACCTTGCTTTCTTCCTCTAGACTTCACTATTAGCCCATGGAAATCTTCCACCTTATTTCTTACCTATAATAATATAATGAACTATTATTCGGGTGGATATGTCCATCATTTCTGAATATTTTGTTCTTAAAAACAGTGATTTGGTGAATATATTTTATTTCATTTTTTAATTAATTAATTAATTTATACAAGCACTGGGTACAGTCAGAAGTGCGGGAGGGTGAGAGAATTCACCAGAGCCAGAGGGGAGAGCAGAGCAGGCACAGTGACGAAATACAATGCTGAGGGGAGCAGCGGGCGACAGGAGAGGTCTGTGCACCATGTGGGACCCTCACCCGGTGACCGGGATCGAACCTGCGCTGCAGAGGCTGCGGGCAGCTTCGCAACCCAGCACTCAACCGCTGCACCACCAGGGAGGCCCGGTGAATATATTTTAAATCCTAGAATTACAATTACCAAGATAAGTCCTGCAGGCATCTAGCATATAGGTTATCTAACTAGAAAATGACCCTGGTTTTGGATTTATATAATACTGTATCTAGGAAGAGTTTGACAGATAGTATCTGTTTTTTTTTTTTAATTCACTCTTATTTTTAAGTTTTACATGTACATGATGATTGTTGAACTATTTAATTGATTCTCTTCATAATTACTCCACATCCATGTTTATGTTGCATTATTGCACTTTGTGGTTTTCCACCCATTTCCTAACTCAGCAGATACCTCCTTGCTTGTCTTTACAATTACCATAGAATTTAATAGATGATATTTTATCATCTCTCTCCTAGTTGGGACTACCAGTTCCTAGAGATCTGGCATTTCAACACCTAAGAGCATGTCAGGCGTTACTAGGTACTTAATACATTTGTTAATTGAAAGAAGGAACTCAAAGAAATCATTGTGTTCACTTCATTTTTTTCCCTAGTAAAAGCACATAACTCTTTTATTCAATTTTTGTCTTTTTTTTTCTCTCCAAATTTAGTCTGTGCTGAGGCCTATAACCCTGATGAGGAAGAGGAAGATACTGATCCAAGGGTAAGAAATGCCACAAACTTGTTAGGCAGAATTATTTCATTTCCCATTCACCTCCCTCTTCCTCTACACTCCAAATCTATTTGTACTGATAATTAAAATAATACAAGTTAAAATCTTACAAGATTTTTTTTTCATCTAACAAATTAACAAATATTAAGAAGAATGAAAGCAGCATTGGTAGCGGGGCGAAAGGGATGCCTAACTGTAGCTGTCAGCTCAGACATCGTCAAGACAGCTGACTCAGCAGTAATGTGAAGAATTCATCCCTAACTAGTGATTGGATCCTGCCTACTAAAGATCTTCAAATGGAAGTCATTGTCATGTTGTAATAGCAGAAATTGGAAATAACCTAAATGGCTCCAAATAGGGAGTTGCCAGGGCTAAATTATAGTACATTCAAATCAATAAAGTCTGTAGCCATTGGAAATGGTAGCACAGGACTGAGTTTAATGACAGAGAAAGATGTTTATATGAGGCATATTTTATAGATTGTCTTATAAAATAAAAATAAACCTAATACTCTGTTTTTTTGAACAAAGAAATAATGCCTGAAAGGATAGATTCTAGATATTAACAGTGATTGTGACAGAACTATGGTTGATATTTTTGGATGCTTTTTTAAAATTTCAGTATTTTTTAACTTTTGCAGTTAACAGATTCCTTTTATAAAAGCAAATATGAACCATCATTTTGAAAAGATTGATGTTATAAAAGAAATTTTGGAGCTCTATCAAGTATGCCTTAATTGAATAGCCTGTGAAACATCTTTATAAAATGCTACTGTTGTGTGAACATAATAGACATGCAGATAAAAAAATTTATTCTGAGTATTGTAAAATTCTTTATGACTTCTAAAGGTTAAATTATTTTACTAACTTTAATATCACAAATTTTAAATACTTGACACTTTTGACATCTATTATTTCTGGCCAGGTTAAATGATATACCTTTTATTTTAGGTGAAGACTGTAGTTAGGAGGGAACTTGATAGACTTCTTAATTATGACAGCAATACAAGGCAATGATTTTTTTTTTTTTTAGTTCAAAAAACAATTGAGTATCATAATAGTTTTACTAGTAATAGTTTTTGAGCTTCTACTCAATTCCAGGTAAAGTTTTAAATATAGTGATAATAGCTCATTTAATCCTTATAAAAATTCTGATTTTGTAGATTCCATGACTGCTGCTAAAAATAAGTTGTTGATGTTTGAATACTAGCTTGTATACCTAATGTTTACTTGCCGTCTCCACATTCACTTCAATAGACAACTCAAAATTAACACAAGCTCCTGATTATTTCCCTTTAAACACCCATGGTCTTGCCCTGCACAATTCATGGCAGCTCTATCCTTATAGTTGCTTAGGCCCAAATCTTCAGGGTCACCCTCAACTCCTCACTTTTTTCATAACCACATTCAATTTTTCAGCAAATCCGATAGGCTTAGTCTTCAAAACATATCCAGAATTATTCTTCTCAACACCTCCACAGCTTCCACACTGATCCAAACCACCTCAATCTGGGATAATCACAGTAACTTTCGAGCCTCTGCTCTGAGCCTCCACTCTTGCTTCCCTGAAGGGTGTTCTTTACCAGCAGCCACTGTGAACCTTTAAAAACATTAGTCAAATTTCTTCCCTTCCTCAGAACCCTCAAATTGCCCCAATGTTGCTAGAGAAAAGCTCCAGTTTTGTGATCTACAGTGTCATTTGGAAATTGCCATTCCCCCAAATATGGTTTCCTCCTTATTGCTTCCCCTTATTCTGTGTCAGTCACACTTAATGCCTGGTTGTTTCTCAACATCCTCTTTACCTACCATAAGACTGTTTCCACTTACTATTCCCTCTGCTTGAAGTGCTCTTCCCACAGAGATGTCCATGTGATTCACTCCCTGAGGTTGTCCTCATTTCTCAAGATCTTTCCACAAATGCCACCTCAGTGAGGCCTCAACTGGACACACGCACACACTTTGTATCACTCTTCATCACCTTATTTTTCTCCATAGCCTCTGACATATTTTATGTGTTTATTAAATATGAGAGCATGGGCCTTCTCTGGTGGCGCAGTGGTTAAGCGCTGGGCTGCAAAGCTGCCCGCAGCCTCCGCAGCACCAATTTGATCCCTGTCAGCGAGAGTCCCACATGGCGCAACAGACCTCTCCTGCTGCGCCTGCTGCTCCCCTCAGCAGTGTATTTCGTCAGTCTGCCTGTTCTGTTTCCTGTTCTGGCTCTGGTGAATTCTCTCACCCTCCCGTGCTTCTGACTGTACCCAGTGCTTGTATAAATAAATAAATCTTTAAAAATAAATAAATAAATATGACAGCAGGTGTTTTTGTATGTTTAGTGCTGTGTTCCCAGAGTTAGCACAGTGCCTGACACCTTGTAGATGCCCAATATTTGTTGAATAACCTTCTGCTCTACAAATGAGCACCTTGAGGCTCACAGTGGGGTAGCTGAGGTGCTGCCAGCCACACAACCAATGAATGGCTGGCACAGGAGGTACTCTTCACCCCTCTCACATTGCCCCTCCTTTATCAGGGCACTGCCTGGTATTTTTGTACTATTAAAATTATAGTAAACATGCTCTTGATTTTCCCTACTTTTTAGGAAAAAGAAATATACTGATTTGTAAGTAGAAGTAAGATTTTCTTTTTCAAGATTTATTTATTTTATACAAGAACTGGGGTACAGGCCAGAGGCGCGGGCGGGTGAAAGGATTCACCAGAGACAGAGTGGGGAATAGAACAGGCAGACTGACGAAATACACTGCTGAGGGGAGCAGCGAGCACGACAGGAGAGGTCTGCCGTGCCATGTGGTACCCTCGCCCTCTGGCCGGCCTGCCGGGATCAAACAGGCACTGTAGAGGCTGCAGACAGCTTCACAGCGCCGCGTTCAACCACCTGTGCCACAAGGGGAGGTCCAGTAGAAGTAAGATTTTCAAGTGGAATTTTTAAATTTCCCTGTTTTATTTGGATTGGCAGGTGATTCATCCTAAAACTGATCAACAGAGATCCAGACTTCAGGAGGCTTGCAAAGATATTCTACTTTTCAAAAATCTGGATGAGGTAACATCTTTTATCTTTTTATTTATCATTTAAACAATTTTTAGTATCTTAGCCATACCCATATGACGCATAATACTCTGTATTCATTTTAGCAATGTTTGCTTTGGTGGTTCACCATACTGCATAATGGACTTTTCAGGCGACTTTTGCTATTTTCTGAACAGTTGTGCTACTTTCTTCAAGACAATGCCATTTGAAGACCATACAGTCTGGTCATGTTAAAAGGAAATGCTCAGGTTTGCATGACACTGGCCTAATTTGGAGGGTCTAAATTATGCTGCAGTGATTTCTCCAAAGATGTCAGTGTGGAGTTCCCTTCTGCCATGGCAGTTAACCCACTAGTGGGGCTTCTGTGACTGTAGGTGTGGGGCACTTCTTGTGATTACTTCTCAGTAAAGACCTCAGGCATGGGGCACACACAGAGTGGTGTGGATATGCAGTCCCCTTCCATAAGATCTATCCCTGGGCCTGCCATCCCTCTCTTGGTGAAGATAAGTATGTAGGGGCTACCTCCTAAGAACAGAGAATCTTCAAATTTCCTCTTTTGTTTTGTTTTGTTTTGTTTTTTTACTTCAAGGGTCACACACTGAAGCCACATAAATGGTTGCAGTTCTGGACCTACTGAGGAGTTTCAGAATGTGCAGAGACAGGAAGAATGAAATTAAAATTCCCCTACTACCCAGTTTCTGGATAGCAGATTTACCTACAGCCCTCCCTGGGAATCTCACTAACCATGTTATGTCCTTCAAGGGAATGAACTATCTCTGGTATCTATAAACCAGTCTGTTTGGTAGCTGTGGTGATTATTGGAAGGGCCAGAACTTTAATCAGAGTTTATGAATAAGACAAGGACCATAAACTGAATGAAAGGCTGTAAGAAGTTCTGGTCTGTGTCAACTCTTTTCCCTGAAAGATCCAACTTTATCAATGAAAAGGGGTCTTGTTTGTTTATATATTTACTAAAGCCCCTCATAAATTTAATGCCATCAAATATTCTGATGTCAGTTAATGTTATTCCAATATTCAGAATTTTCTTAGTGTTGGAGGATGTCATTTTAGTGTTGAAAAATGATCACTGACTTTTCAAATCAATGAAATTTTTCTAATATTGTATCATGAAAATGTTCAAACATAACAGTTCAAAGAATTTTATAACATCATGCATTTATCCACTGCTTTGATTCTAACATTAACATTTTACTATGCTTGTTACCTTCTACAACATCTTCATATCCCTTGACAAAGGGGTCAGCAAACTTTTTGTAAAAAATAATAATAATAATAATAATAAAGAAAAGAAAGCAAACATTGTAAAAATAAAAGAACAATGATGTAAAATACAAATAAATAAATTATTTAATTAAAAAAGCAAATAGTAAGTATTTCTGTCATCACTGTTCAACTCTCTTATTGTAGCAGGAAAGCAGCTATAGGCATACATAAATGAAAGACAGTGTTCCAATAAAACATGACTTACAAAAACAGGCAACTGTTTGTAGTTCCCTGATTAACCCATCTTGTTTTGGGGGATGCATTTCTTAGTCAACTGAAAATACCAGTATGCTTTCCCTCTAATAATTTGAGATGATTGAACTAGAGTTCAGTATTTGTTTATAGCTTTTTTTAATATAAAATTTGCATACAGTGAAACACTTAAGTTTTAAGTGCATTCACTGAGGTTTGACAAATGCATATGTAAGTAATTCAAACCCCAGTTCTTATATGCATAAATAAATAAAAATAAATCTTTAAAAAAAAAGTCTAAAGTGGGCCTCCCTGGTGGCGCAAGGGGTTAGGATGCACGCAGCCTGTGAAGCTGTCCACAGCCTCTGCAGCATGAGTTCAATCCCCAGCTGGCCAGGGAGCAACCCACATGGTGCAGCAGACCTCTCCAAACTTGCCCGCTGCTCCCCTCAGCAGTGTACTTCGGTCAGTCTGTCTATTCTGTTCCCCATTTTGTCTCTGGTGAATCCTCTCACCACCACCCCCCATGCCTCCAGCCTGTACCCCAGCTCTTGTATGCATAGATAAATTTTTTTTTTTTTTTAAGATTTATTTATTTATTTATACAAGCACTGGGTACAGTCAGAAGCGCGGGAGGGTGAGAGAATTCACCAGAGCCAGAGCGGGGAGCAGAGCAGGCAGAAGGACTGAAGTACACTGCTGAGGGGAGCAGCGGGCGGCCGGAGAGGTCTGCGCGCCATGTGGGACCCTCCTCCGGTGGCCGGGGAGCAACCGGGATCGAACCCAGCACTGCAGAGGCTGCGGGCAACTTCGCAACCCAGCGCTCAACCGCTGCGCCACCGGGGAGGCCCGATAAATAAATATTTTTAAAAAATAAAATATAATAATTAAAATATATAGTTCTGCTTTAAAAAAAAAGTCTAGGGCCTCCCCGGTGGCGCAGCGGTTGAGCGCTGGGTTGCGAAGCTGCCAGCGGCCTCTGCGGTGCCGGTTCGATCCCCAGCTGCTCCCTGGCCGCTCCCTAGCCACCGGAGGAGGATCCCACATGGCGCGCAGACCTCTTCTGCCGCCCGCTGCTCCCCTCAGCAGTGTACTTCGGTCCTTCTGCCTGCTCTGCTCCCTGCTTTGGCTCTGGTGAATTCTCTCACCCTCCCGCGCTTCTGACTGTACCCAGTGCATGTATAAACAAACAAAATTAATTAATTAATTAATTAATTAATTAAAAAAACATGCCTCTATTAAAAAAAAATTAAAAAAAAAAAGTCTAAAGAATAGCACCATGAATACTCATACACTTTTTACCCAGAATGACAAGTTGTCTACATTTTTCATGTTTATTTTCATGTATGTGTGTGTACATTTAAATACATATAAACTTGTTGTTTTGAGCCATGTATAAATGTTTAAGACATCATGACTCTTAACTACTAAATAAGATGTGTTTTCCCGTAATAAGGGTAGTCTCCTACATTAACACAACACCGGTATCTAATACAAGAAATTTAATATTGTTATATTATCTAACATAGTCTATGTTCAGATTTTCCAGTGATGTTCTCTACAGCTTTTGCTGTTTTTTATTCCTGAATCACGTATTGAGTTTAGTTGTTAGTCCCTCTAATCTAAAATGCTCCCCCTATAACTTATTCTCTATCTCATGACACTGATGTTTTTGAAGAGTCCAGGTCAAAAGAAGAGTTACTGAGAATAAGAGGCTACCAATGGATAGCCCACAGACCAGGTTTAACCAGGTAGAGATTGTATGTGCTTGCTCTGTAATGTACATGAAAATTTGAATCTGTTGTTAGTATTTAAACAGGAGGTTTCTGGCAACACAGGGCACTCATTCCACATAAATGTGAATGGCACATGAATAGCAGGTCTTCTTCCTTAGTATCTGTCAGCTTGTATAGTATGTAACACATATGGAACTGTACAACTGATGAAATGCTTTTTGGTACTACTTATTTTAGGTAGCACAGTTACACTGACAGAACATGGAATTATGCGACAATAAAATTATTTTCTTGCCAGGTCTTCTACTCACATTCTTCCAAAGAAAAGGTCTGAGTTGAAACTGCCCTTCTAACAGTTACTGATTCCTCTGCCTGATGGAGAAATACAGGCCCAAGACTGAGCCCACTGCTCTGTTGGAATTTATTAGTATTTTTTTGAATGTTCATTATACTTACAATACAATTATCTTCTGGTTATGGCAGGTAATACTGGTTAATAATTGTATGTGTTATATGTAAGTGACTGAAGCCATTGGCTGTCTGATAATAGATCTTATTTACTTTTTTTTTTTTTAACGATTTTTTTAAAGATTTATTTATTTATTTATTTATTTATACAAGCACTGGGTACAGTCAGAAGCGCAGGAGGTTGAGAGAATTCACCAGAACCAGAGCAGGGAGCAGAACAGGCAGAAGGACTGAAGTACACTGCTGAGGGGAACAGCAGGCGCAGCAGGAGAGGTCTGTCGTGCCATGTGGGACCCTTGCTGGTGGCCGGGAAGTGAACCTGTGCTTCAGAGGCTGCCGCAGTCTCCCAGCCCAGCGCTCAACCGCTGCGCCACCAGGGGAGGCCCTTTATTTACTGTCTTAACAATAGATCTCACTTACTTAAAAAAAGGCTAAAACAAAAAGCTGAAAGTAAAAAGAAAATTTATTAAACTTTTTTATACAATAAAGAAATTGGGTCTCAGGTAAAGTGATATATCTAAATAGTTAAAAGCAGTTGTGTTGCTTCATGAACGAACCTTTGAAGCCATCCCAGCCCTTTCAGTTAGATGAACCTGTTAAAATCATATGTAGGAAGATAGCATCTTGTGACTATATATAACATAGTGGAGCCATCTAAGCAGGTGACAATCATATGGTTGTGACTGGGAAAATGGGCACCATGATTTAGATAGCCCATATTTCCTTCCTGGTGACGCAAGGGGTTAAGCACAGCACTATGAAGCTGTCTTCAGCCTCTACAGCATGAGTTCGATCCCAGACCCGCCAGGGAGTTACTCACATGGCGCAGCAGACCTCTCCTGACTCACCCACTGCTCCCCTCAGCATTGTATTTCAGTCAGTCTGCCTGTTCTGTTCCCCACTCTATCTCTTGTGAATCCTCTCACCCCCTGCACCTCTGGTCTGTTCCCAGTTCTTGTATGCATAAATAAATCTTTAAAAAAAAAAATAGATAGCCCATTTTTACATAAATAAGGGGAAAAAAATTTTCCCCCCAATAATAAAAATGCTACATCAAAAGACCTGGCAATTGTGCTGGATTTATGGAAGGAAAAAGCTGTAGTCTCAGGAAAACACTTGTTTCAAACAACCCTTAGGTTTCTACTTGAATATGGGAACAGTCTATTGTGAGTGAGGCTTTCTATGTAGTCACAGACTGAGATAAAGATAGTCATTTTCCCCCCAGGAAATATAAAAGCCATTTTTTCTCCTTGTGTGTACCCTGCAGGAACAACTTTCTCAAGTCCTTGATGCCATGTTTGAAAGGACAGTCAAAGTTGATGAGCATGTCATTGACCAAGGAGATGATGGAGACAACTTTTATGTCATAGAACGGTAGGAGATGGAACTTTGCAATTGTGTGTCCACACTTAATAAGATTCATGATTAGGGCAAATGTTTCATCCTATGCTTTGTTCAACTGAGAGAGAATTTAGGCTAGGTAAACAAGTTTCTTAAAGCTTGCCTCTGTCTACAACCTTCCACTCTCCAGCTATAGCTTTCCCGAGTCCTCAGTATATCGTATCTGCAGTAAGAAGTCTCCTTTATAGTTAGTTGAAATTTGCAAGATGTACTTTATAAGCATGTTATTTACAAGTATTCAAGTGAATTGATTACCTAACAATAGCCATATGCTATATTGTCATCTAGATCTTTCAATCCCAGCCTAATTTTACACATGAATACTCTACTTCAACCTCTGTGCCCCTGGCCCCAGGCAGAAAGAGAAGGCGAACCAGAGTGATAGAGCTTGAAAGTAATTAGCAATCAAAAATGTAGTCAAATATTATATTTACATATATGTATTTTTTATGTTGGCCATACATTGTTGTATGACCTAATCTTTGAAATCTATTTTAGGTAGTTTGCCATGGGATACAATATTACTATATATCATTATTCACTGCCTAATATGCATATTGACATATATTTGACCTATCCCCATTGTAATTTTTGCTGTTACAAATATTATCTGGAGCCTCCCTGGTGGCGCAAAGGGTTAAGTCAGCACAGTGAAGCTATCAGCAGCCCCGTAACACAAGTTCAATCCCTGGCCAGGGAGCTAACCCACATAGAGCAGCAGACCTCTCCTGTCTCACCCTCTGCTCCCCTCAGCAGTGTATTTCAGTCAGTCCACATGTTCTGCTTCCCACTCTGTCTCTGGTGAATCCTCTTATCACCCTGCATCTTTGGCCTACACCCCAGCTCTTGCATGCAAAAATAAATAAATCTTTAAAAAAAATGTTATCCGGTGTACATGTCTGCAGTTAAATCTTTTCCAGTATCTTTATTATCAGCTTTAGAATGCCTCAAAATTGAATTGCTGTGTCAGAGGCTCTCTTTGTAGCATTTGCTACATGTTGTTAATTATCTTGCAGAAACTTAGAAAAGTTTAGGTTTGCCTCAGTGGTGTTTTGAGAGTGTCTTTCTCCTCATAATTGTTAGTTCTGAACATTATTCTTTAGCAACCATTACCAATAAATGGACAGAAAATCATTTCTTTTAATCAGTCATACATATTTATTTTCAATAGACTACAAAAAACAACCAAAACCCCATGCCATCATTTCAAAACCTTCAGGAATAGCACTTGATAGAATTCTATACCTTTTCATGATAAAAACACTCAGCATACCAAGAATAGAAGAGGGCCTCCCTGGTGATGCAGGCAGTTGAGCACAGTGCTGTGAAGCTGTCCACAGCCTCTGCAGCACGGTTCGATCCCCACTGGCCTCGGAGCAACCCACATGGTGAGCAGACCTCTCCTGTCTCGCCACTGCTCCCCTCAGCAGTGTATTTCGTCAGTCTGCCTGTTCTGCTCCCCGCTCTGTCTCTGGTGAATCCTCTCACCCTCCTGCTCATCTGGCTGTACCCTGGCTCTTGTATAAATAAAATAAATCTTTAAAACAAACAAACAAACTAGGAATAGAAGAAACTTTTCTTCAACCTGATGAAAGACATTTATAAAAACCCACAGCTAACATCATATTTAATGGTGAAAGGGCCTCCCTGGTGGTGCAGGTGGTTGAGCGTTGCACTGTGAAGCTGTCTGCAGCCTCTGCAACATGGGTTCGATCCCAGCCAGCCATTGAGAATCCCACATGGCGAAGCAGACCTCTCCTGTCTCACCCGCTGCCCCCCTCAGCATTGTATTTCGTCAGTCTGCCTGTTCTGTTCCCCGCTCTGTCTCTGGTGAATCCTCTCACCCTCCCACGCATCTGGCCTGTACCCCGGTTCTTGTATAAATAAATCTTTAAAAAAAAAAAAAGGCGAAAGATTGGATTTTTCCCTATCAGCTCGAGAGCAAGACAAAGGTGTATGTCTCTCTCACCACTTCTACTCATGTCTACTTGTGCGAGAGGTCCTAGTTAATGCAATATGGCAAAGAAAAAAGCAAAAGAAAAGGAGAGAAGGGGCGGAGGAAGGGCATATAGATTGGAAAGGAGGCTGTGAAAAACTTTGTAGATGACATGATACTCCAGAAAATATCAAGAGTGCTACAAAGCTGGGCCTCCCTTAGCAACCATTACCAATAAATGGACAGAAAATCATTTCTTTTAATCAGTCATACACACAGGGTTAAACACCACACTATGAAGCAATCCGCAGCCTCTGCAGCACGAGTTCGATCCCTGGCCAGCCAGGGAGAAACCCACATGGCACAGCAGACCTCTCCTGTCTTGCCCGCTGCTCCCTCAGCAGTGTATTTCAGCCAGTCTGTCTGTGTTCTGTTCCCCACTCTGTCTCTGGTGAATCCTCTCACTCCCCTGCATCTCTGGCCTGTACCCCAGCTCTTGTATGCATAAATAAATAAACCTTAAAAAAAAAAAAGAGTGCTACAAAAATAAAAACTAGTGAGTTTAGCAATGTCATAGAATACAAAATCAAAATCTAAAAACCTATTTTATTTCTATGGACTAGCAAAAATCTACTGGAAAATCTTCTATAGCAACATTTTATCTTAGGAATATTCTATTTATGTACCACCTGACAGTTCGTAGATTTATTACTAAAAATAATTAAATGTAATAAATGAAATTGTTTTTTGTTGTTTTCAGGGGAACCTATGACATTTTAGTAACAAAAGATAGTCAAATCCGCTCTGTTGGTCAGTATGACAACCATGGCAGTTTTGGAGAACTCGCTCTGATGTACAACACCCCGAGAGCTGCTACCATTGTCGCCACTTCAGAAGGCTCCCTTTGGGGACTGGTGAGTTAGTGAAGTGGTTCTTGCATGACACAGGGTTAATTCCTCTTACCTGGGTCTCTATACTTGTGCTGTTGATTCACACTGTATTTTATAACTAGTTTATAAAGACATTGTGGAAGTTCTTGTACCAGTGTGTTTTTCCATTTCTCTAAAATTATTTGCCAAAGTATTTACAACAAATTATAGGGGAAAACTGGGTCTTAGGCCTTGCAGTCATGTCAGCTCTTACCACATTTTCTGTTTCTGAAAAAAAAAGGAGATAACTCTATACACAAGAGACAACCTAGAAAAATGAATGTCATTGAAAACTCTGCCAATAGGGCCTCCCCTGGTGGCACAGCGGTTGAGTGCTGGGCTGCCAAGCTGCCCGTAGCCTCTGCAGCACTGGTTCGATCCTCGGCCGCCGGCAAGGGTCCCACATGGCGCGACAGACCTCTCCTGCCGCACCCGCTGCTCCCCTCAGCAGTGTATTTCATCAGTCTGCCTGTTCTGTTCCCGCTCTGGCTCTGGTGAATTCTCTCACCCTCCTGCTCTTCCGACTGTACCCAGTGCTTGTATAAATAAATAAATAAATCTTTAAAAAAAAAAAAAGTATCTTCCATCTCTAGCTGTCCCATGACTTAACTCTATTCTGTGTTAAGCCATCTACTTGTTCATTGATCCCTGCCAATATTCGGTAGACTTAGATGACTAGCAAAGCTAATAGCAATATTTTAGAAAATAGAACTTTCCTAGAATATCTTAGGCATAGCACTGTTTTGATCCCCATCTCTCAGCATCAGTACTTCAAAATACATAACTCTCTTCCTTCTTAAATAAAATAATGATCCTCTTGTACAAATTTTAAGTTTCAGTATGTTGGTATCCATAGTAATTTGTTACCATATGCCATACAAGCAGAATCAAATATGTTTCATAGATTGTCAACCTATTTCCTCAAATGAAATCACATTTTAAAGACCATAATAAAGGACTTTACTGTGACATGATGATATAGAATTAAGATTGCTCCTGAGATGAATAGAAGGGGTCAATTTGATGCTGGTGGATAAAAACTTGGGTGGTGGGTATAGTGTGATATTTACAGAAGCTGTGTGTGTGGAGGACACACTGAACTGGCCTTGCGCGGCATGTGAGTTCTGGGAAATGTGAAGATATGCATAGAAAGGGTTGAAACACAAATAGATAAGTCACTTTGAGTGATATAAATTGTTCTCTTTTCAGCTATAAATACAGTTTGCTATTACTAATCTTTATAGCATTATAGGTATATTTTTTAAATACTGGGTTTTGTTTTGTTTTAAATAATGCCTATTCAAATATAAGGAAAGGAACTTTATAATTACCTTTTTTTTTTTTTTTTTTCAGTCTTGTTTGCCCTCTTTCCAGCACTTTTGGCCTAGATTGCCCAAGAAAGCATGTATAATAGAAACTGAATTCTAAAGATTGTGAAGTAATACTCCAAAGTGTAACAGTAACATTTAAAATAATAAATCCCTACCCTTGGACTTCAAAAAGAAATGGCAAGTGATACAACCCATTAGAGCAATCAGAAATTCAGTGGCTCCTTTCAAGCAGGCAGATGGAAAAGGAAATGGAGCAGAATCTGGCACGCAGACATTATTTGTACAGCAGTTTAGGGTTGGGTATGCCATTACTCACACTGGGAGTAGAAAGTGCAGTAAGCGACTTGTCTTATAAGGCAGATGACAGATGGCATGGGGTAGGACCTGGAAATTCTTCAACTAATGGAATATGAGCTGGTGAAACCCATTTAGATAGTTTAACTCAGTTTTTCTCTCCCACTCCTACCCCATCATCGAAAATACTAAAATAGCAAATCTACAGCTAAATATACACATATTCTCTTGCTGTTTTCATTTTACCAGCCTCTAGGATGTCATTACTATACTTTCTCCCTCAAAATCCATTCTTCAAAGCCTCAGGTGTAAGAAAGGTACAGTTAATTTAGGTATTCATATTTCGGAGCCTAAAACTAAGCAGTTAACATTCTCCTGTCTTTATGTCCCTTCCCACATATGTATACATATATTTGAGAAGTGCCGAGCCTTAGCTCAGTTAACTGTTGCCCAACTCTGAATCTGTGACTTGCTGAGGTCAAAGTACCTTTCAACGGTCTGCCTTCCATTTTGAATTTCCTTCCCTATCTCTCCATTTAAATATTATCCCTCTTGGCCCTCCCTTGTGGCGCAAGGGATTAAGACACAACCTGTGAAGCTGTCCACAGCCTCTGCAGCACGAGTTCGATCCCCCAGCCGGCCATGGAGCAACCCACATGGCACAGCAGACCTCTCCTGACTTGCCTGCTGCTCCCCTCAGCAGTGTATTTCAGTCAATCTACCTGTTCTGTTCCCCACTCCGTCTCTGGTGAATCCTCTCTCCGCACCCCCCCCCACCTCTGGCCTGTACTCCAGCTCTTGTATGCATAAATAAACAAAACTTTTATATAAATAAATATTGTCTCTCTTTCAGGTCTCAGACAAATTTGTATTTTTGCAACAAAGTTAACCTGATATTCCAACCTAGTGTGATCTCTCCCCCTCCTGAGAATTCTTGTGGCACTTAGTTTGCCTAGCACATTTCAGATACTGTCTTGAGCTGGAGATTTTTTCATTCCTCTACATTTTGTGTTCGCTTTCCATTGATATTGTAACGTTCTTTTTTGGAAGGTATATATTTTCACATTGAACTGTGACTATAGGCTCACAAATGTTTGGAAGTTTTTTATTTTGTGTTCTAATCATGACCCATAGGTGGCACCCTTTGAGTACTTGATAGCGAGCAACAACCTCTTGTTCAGGCTACCTTAAACACTGAAACATCATCCTTAAACACTCAATTGACCCAGTACCTTCCATAGTGCTCTAATATTTACTGTCACCCAGTTAATTAAACCATAGATGTTCTCTTACACAGGCATTTACCAGAATTTTCTTCTTTGTTCTTACAGGATCGTGTGACTTTTAGAAGAATCATAGTGAAAAACAATGCAAAAAAGAGGAAGATGTTCGAATCATTTATTGAATCTGTACCCCTCCTTAAATCACTAGAGGTAAAGTCTATTTGAATAAGAGTCTGTTTGTGGAAATCTAGTTAAAAGTATTCTATTGCTAGGTTTTAAGATTCTACTAAGATTGCACTAACCCATTTCTGTGTTTTATAGATCTTACCTGTGACTTTCAGTTGAGCTCTTTTCCTTATAACTTGTAGTTATGTTCATCATTTCAGGTTTCGGAACGAATGAAGATTGTTGATGTTATAGGAGAAAAGATCTATAAAGATGGAGAGCGCATAATCACTCAGGTGAGTGGGGGATTTGACTCCTTTCCTGGAAGTCACTTCAGAAAAGATTAGTGCTTCATTTCTCTTTCACTTTTGGGAGCTCATATTGCAAGGTACTGGGATACATTTTCTGCAGAGTCTTCTGAAGTTGTTCATGTTCATCTCATTCACATATGCAGGTCTGTTGCCTCCATTCACTTTTCCTTGTCTTCTGGTGTTTGTCCTTTGGATGTTATTTTCTTTTGAGCTCAGAAAGCTTCATCTGTTGCTGTTAAAACCTGGGGAAGGTTTAAAGGCTGTCCCTTTACTTTCTCTTTGGTACAAAGGTGCCCACAGCTTATTTACCACAAACCAGAGTCCAGTCCTCAGTGATTGACCAACTTTTAAGATGTCTTTAATATTTGCTTTGTACCTTAGTCTCTTGTTACTTTTGGGTATTGTAAGGATTGGCACACAGTAGACTGGATCTTTGTGATGAGTACTGTGTGGTAATTTTCTTGTCTACTATCTTGTGTTTTTTTAATTATATGTAAAGAATATTAGGGACTTTTCTGGCTATAAGCTGCTCTGCCTACAGTTCTGGCAAGAGCACTAGGAAGATATCTGGTTGGCCTGGATTGAGTGATGTGCCTGGTCCAACCAGCACCAAAGGGACTCAGAGAAGCTCCCAGAGAGAAAGGACTAACAAAAACTGGGCTTTGTTAAGTGGCATCTCAAAATGCCTTTGTTTTCTACGTATCTCTTCTTTCATAATTACTTTAATCAGTGATGCAGAGTGGATACAGATTAAGATTATGTCCACCATATTATTAATATTATAGTCCCCTTTTTACAGCATCTAGGAATATTAGGAAGCCAAAGTTTCTGTATGGTCCCAAAAACAGCAATAGCAGCAGCATCTAGGAATATTACGAATTGTTAGAAGTGCAAGTACTTGGACTCCCTGCAAGAGTTAGAAACTTTGCTTTATGTTATTTTGTTTGTTTGGGTCAGCTTTGATATATGGTATATTTCATACATGGTAAAATTGTCAATTTTTGTATATGATTAGGGGGTTTTATAGTTGCCCCTGCAATCATAGTATATAACATTTCCATCAGTTCAAGAGGTTCTTTCATCAAAAAAAAAGTTCCCTCATTTGTATTTGCACACAATGCCCTCCCCTGCCCCTGACTCTTGGAAAACACTTTTCTTTCTCTATTGCCATAAAAATTCTTTTTCTAGAATTTCATATAAATGAAATCATATATGTATAGTGTTCTCTGTCTTGAATTCTTCCACTTTGCAGTGTTTTTGAGATTTATCCATGTTGTTTGTATCAGCATATCACTCTTTATTACTGAGTAGTATTTCATTGTAGAGATGTACCATAATTTGTCTTCCATTCAACAGGGACTCAGAGAAGCTGAGGGACATTTGGGGTGTTTCCAGTTTTGGACAACTATGAATAAAGCTGCAGTGAACATTTGCAGACAAGTCTTGTGTGGACATGTGTTTTTATTACTCTTGAATAAATATCTAGGAATGGAATTACTGAATCATATGGTAGAATATGTTTAAAAGATATCAGACTGTTTTAAAAGATGACTCTACCGGGGAAATGCACGAGTTCCAGTTGCTCTGCATCCCATCACCATTTAATTATTGAGTCTTTTTAATTGTTGCCATTCTAGTGGATATGAAATGGTATCTCATTTTGACTTTAATTTTCATTTACTTAATGTCTGAAGATGTTGAGAATCTTTTCCTGACTGCTTCTCATCGTGCTTTCTTTTTTTTTAAAGATTTATTTTTGGGGGCCTCCCCGGTGGTGCAGCGGTTGAGCGCTGGGTTGCGAAGCTGCCCGCAGCCTCTGCAGTGCAGGTTCGATCCCCGGCTGCTCCCCGGCCACCGGAGGAGGGCCCCACATGGTGCGCAGACCTCTCCTGCTGCCTGCTGCTCCCCTCAGCAGTGTATTTCGGTCCTTCTGCCTGTTCTGCTCCCTGCTCTGGTGAATTCTCTCACCCTCCAGCACTTCTGACTGTACCCAGTGCTTGTATAAATAAATAAATAAATAAATCTTTAAAAAAAAAAAAAAAAGATTTATTTTTGGGGGCCTCCCCGGTGGCACAGTGGGTTGAGCACAGTGCTGTAAAGCTGTCTGCAGCCTCTGCAGCGCAGGTTCGATCCCGGCTGGCCAGCGAGAATCCCACATGGTGTGGCAGACCTCTCCTGTCGCACCCGCTGCTCCCCTCAGCAGTGTATTTTGGTCCTTCTGCCTATTCTGCTCCTTGCTGTGTCTATGGTGAATTCTCTCACCCTTCCATGCCTCGGGCCTGTACCCCAGCTCTTGTATAAATATAATCTTTTTTTAAAAAAAGATTAAAAAAAGATTTATTTTTATTTATTTAGCATACAAGAACTGGGGTATAGGCAAAGAGATGCAGGGGGCAAGAGGATTCACCAGAGACAGAGTGGGAAGCAGAACAGGTGGATTGACTGAAATACACTGCTGAAGGGAGCAGCGGGCAAGACGAGAGGTCTGCTGCACCATGTGGGCTAGCTCCCTGGCCAGGCTGCGGTTAGCTGCAGATAGCTTCATCTGCACCACCAGGGAGGGAGGCCCAACTGTGCTGTCTTGATTACAATAGCTTTTTTCAATAAGTCTTAGAATCCAATGGTTTAAGCCCTCCAAACTTGTTATTTTTTCATAATTGTTCTGATTACTCTATGTTATCTGCATTTCTTTATAAATTTTAGATTCAATAAGTTTCTACCAAAAAACACTGCTAGGTATTTTATTGGGATTATGTTGAATCTACTAATCAATTTGGTGAGAAATTAACATCTTCACAATAGTGAATATTTGTGTCTGTCTCAGCCTATCAGCTAAGAATGCCTGGGACACTCATCTGACCCCATACTACTTGTGACTAACCCCTGACAAACTTTTCCCCAACTAGAGTCAGTGTTGTGGCTCATCCAGCCCCTACTATTCTTATGATTGCAAGAGACAACTCAGCAAGGACCGTCACAGAACTTTGAAAATAAACAAAGGTTATTACTCACAGGTCCTACAGGGTACATAGCTTGCCCAGGGCCACAAAACAAGGTCATGAGAGAAAAGAGAGAACACGAGAGAGAGTTGAACTGGGCTTCTGCCTTAATGGGGTCAAGGGTGGAGAACTTAGGGTTTCATGGGTTCACTGTTGGCAAATTTATTTATTTTTTTTAAGATTTATTTATTTATACAAGCACTAGGTAGAGTCAGAAGTACAGGAGGGTGAGAGAATTCACCAGAGCCAGAGCGGGGAACGGAACAGGCAAACTGACGAAATACACTGCTGAGGGAAGCAGCGGGCATGGCAGGAGAGGTCTGGGTGCCATGTGGGACCCTCGCCATCGGCCGGGGATCGAACTGGCACTGCAGACGCTGCGGGCAGCTTCGCAGCCCAGCGCTCAACCGCTGCACCACCAGGGGAGGCCTATGTTGGCAAATTTAAAACATAAGTGTGGGAAGAGAGAAGAGGAATCACTCAAGTGGTCAATTACCTAGGTTTACGCAGACCTTTCTACAAGGGGAAATTTATGGGTGTTGGCAGCCTGGTTCTTTATCTACTTGTGTAGCTTCCGGTATGCTTATTCAGATGGGTGTCTTTGAATTAGATATCTCAGCTATCAAAAGTTTAATGTAAGGCACTTAAACTACATGAAGACTGGTTCTAAGTAAGGTATATCTCCATTTATTTAAACTTTAGTTTTTCTCTAATACTTTATAGTTTTCAAGTGTATAGGTTCTCACCAAAGACTTAAGAGCCACAAAAAATGAGAGCATGTGATTAGTATTGAATTATCTAGTGTAGGAAATTACCCCAGAAGAGTGAAGGATCAGAGACTGAAGTGTGCCTGAAAGCCTTTTCTCCCATATCTGCTTGCCTCACTCTCTTCTACTTTCAACCTTTGCTCAAATCTTGCCTTCTCAATGAAGCTGTATTATACACTGTAACTACCCCGCCCCTGCCACACACACACACACACACACACACACACACAGGTCAGTTCCCATATTCCCTGCTCTACATTTTTCCCATAGTACTCACTGCTGGGCCTCCCCTGGTGGCGCAGGAGGTTGAGCACAGCGCTGTGAAGCTGTCCACAGCCTCTGCAGCGCTGGATCGATCCCGGCCAACCAGTGAGGGTCCCACATGGTGCAGCCGACCTCTCCTGTCTCACCCGCTGCTCCCCTCAGTGGTGTATTTCGTCAGTTTGCCTGTTCTGTTCCCTGCTCTGTCTCTGGTGAATCCTCTCACCCTCCCGCACATCTTGCCTGTACCCCGGTTCTTGCATAAATAAATAAATAAATCTTTAAAAAAGAAGGAAAAAAAAAGTACTCACTGCCTTCCAATACCATGCTATAATTTACTGATTCATTGTGGTGTTTCCAGTTAGTTTCCCTACCAGACTGTAAGTTTCACAATCATAGGGATATTGGTTTTGTCCACTGATATAGCTCACATACCTAGAACAGTGCCTGGCACATAGTAGGTACTTAATAAATTTTTTAAAGAATTCCTTTATTGTAAGATACTTATTTATTTTGCATTGAACTGGGGTGTAGGCCAGAGGTGGGGGAGAGTGAGAGATTCACCAGAGAGTGTGGGGAGCAGAATAGGTAGATCCGCTGAAATACACTGCTAAGGGGAGTGTAACAATTCCATGGGAATTGTTAACTGCCTGGTCAGGGATCGAACTCAGGCCACAGTGGTGGTAGCACTGAGACTTAACCCCTAGGCTACCAGGGAGGCCCTACTTAATAAATTTTTTGTTGAGTTACTTGAGTGACTGCTTCAGCCAAATGTTTTAAAATCAAAACAAGCAAGAGAAGCCTGAGGCTCATTGGGTGACAACAACCCACATCAAAGCACCTCCCAACCAAGGCAGGACCTTTTCCAGATCCACACTGACCTCTGGAGGGCTGAATTTGATGGTCAACATTATCCCTGGACCTCATGATACAGGGGTAGCCAGAAGTCAATTTGATACTGCAACTGTTGGTTGCAGTCTTGGCTGCTGATTCTCTGTCATAGATTTCAGTGGCTGACCAAATTGAGCAGTAAAAAATAACAGTGTTCTGTACAATTGGCATCCTGGGCATATTCATGGAGAGAAATGTGAATACTCCATATTGAGAAGTGAGAGATGTGTGTCAGTCATAGTTGGGCTGACATCCTTGGTAGTCAGGAGCTTCTCGTTTTGTTCTAAATTTGTTAGCCATTGAATGATTTGTGGAGTTGGAAAATAAATACAAATAAGAGCTCAGACAAACCAATCTATTTCTGTATCCCTCTGTGTGTGTGTGTGTGAGTGAGTGTGAGTGTGTATGGTTCTGATCTGATCTCCTTTCCTTTTTCAGGGTGACAAGGCTGATAGCTTTTACATTATAGAGTCTGGTGAAGTGAGCATCTTGATTAGAAGCAAGGTGAGTTTTGTGATGGTATTAATTATGCCAGAGAAGATCCAGATGCTAGATGAATGTACAGAAAGTAACTTTGCTTTAAATAATGTGAATGTGTTTAGAGTACCCAAATCATCATTATGGCAAATACCCATGTCTGATCCCATCCATTGATGAGAAGTTAGTATGTTTCTTCTTTTTCCTATTGCCTTTGTTATGTAATGAATATGGACATATTGGCATACAGATCAATAAGAAAATGACAAACACCCTAATAAAAAATGGGAGGACCATATAATAAAATATATGCGGTGAATATGAACAAACTTCCTTTTTAGAGCACTGGGAGAGGAGGTCTCTAGGACATTTGCTATTATGACCATTTGATGGATAGGGAGCCCTAGAAAATCATGACCTGTATACAGGAAGAGTGATTATTATCGTAATCCATCATCATCAGATTTCCTTATATCACATTTTCTAAGACTGTCATTTGTTACATTAGTGAGTTATATATAATACTAAATCAACCTAGTATGAAATCTTTTATAGACTATTTTTAGTAAAAGTAAGTGTAGAGAAAGAAAGAAAAATCATTACTGTCTGTAAGGTAGCTTGATTCCTAATTAAAAATAGACCCATTGTTTCACATGAAATAGTAATTTGAAACTTCTATGTTATCTTACGGTTTTGGGAGTACTCACAATGTCTGTTCATTGCTCAAATATTCACTTACACCTACTGATCACAGCAATGTTGGGTATGTAGGACCCAGCAGCATTGTGGTGCTCAAGGATTGGGATTTGTCCAGGGTTCTGCCCTAGACCTACTAAATTAGAATCTACATTGTAACAAAAACCCCAGGGAACTGGTACTTTTATTTTTCTAAATAAACCTTCAAAAAATTATCTGCCCATAATATAAAGTAGTTGTTAGAGATTAAAATTAATTCTTACTATTAAATTTGAAATCATTTTTTACTCAAGTTGTTGTTTAGCTTAGTAGATGAATCTGTTTTTTAAAAAAGAAGGTAGATATTAAATACAATACTATACATTATTTTTGATAACTCGATAAGCACAAATTATTATTACCTGCTTGATCTTTTAAACAGAGTTAAACCACCTAATTAAAAGGTTATTTTTTTAAACAATGTACTTTTTTTTTTACACGAATGCCCGCCGAAAGTGCGACTGCACCCCAACTTTATTTTATTTTATTTTTTTAAAGATTTATTTATTTATTTATACAAGCACTGGGTACAGTCAGAAGCGCAGGAGGGTGAGAGAATTCACCAAAGCCAGAGTGGGGAACGGAGTAGGCAGACTGACGAAGTACACTGCTGAGGGGAGCAGCGGGCGGCAGAGGAGGTCTGCCCGCCATCTGGGACCCTCCTCCGGTGGCCGGGGAGCAGCCGGGAATTGAACCAGCGCTGCAGAGGCTGCAGGCAGCTTTGCAACCCAGCGCTCAACTGCTGCGCCACTGGGGAAGCCCAATGTACTTTTTTTTTTTAAAGATTTATTTTTATTTATACAAGAACAGAGGTACAGGCCAGAGGCATGGGAGGGCGAGAGGATTCACCAGAGACAGAGTGGGGAACAGAACAGGCAGACTAACTGAAACACACTGCTGAGGGGAGCAGCAGGTGAGACACATCTGCCGCGCCATGTGGGTATCTTCTGGCTGCCCGGGAATCAAACCTGCACTGCAGAGGCTGTGGACAACTTCACAGTGCTGCGCCCAACCCACTGTGCTACCAGGGAGGCCCTAAAATACTATTTTTAAAAGCTACTTAGCTCTTCTAAAAATTGGAGGGAGGCAACCACTAACTTAAGATGCGGTAATACCTAAAAAGAAAATTTGTCTCTGTAAAGCATTGTCCAAGAAAGGCACAATCTCAAATCAAGAGAAATGCTTGTACCAAAATGAAAAATGATGTAAAAATATATAAAAATAAAAATTAAAAAAAAAAACACATCTGTAACATTAAAAAAAAAAAAGAAAAGAGGGGCCTCCCTGGTGGCGCAGAGGGTTGAGCACAGCACTGCAAAGCTGTCCTGCAGCGCAGGTTCGATTCCTGGCCAGCCAGGGAGATTCCCACAGGGCCTGGCAGACCTCTCCTGTTGCACCCACTGCTCCCCTCAGCAGTGTATTTCGGTCGTCTGCCTTTTCTGCTCCCTGCTCTGTCTGTCTCTGGTGAATCCTCTCACCTTCCCACGCCTCTGGCCTGTACCCCAGCTCTTGTATAAAAATAAATAAATCTTTAAAAAAAAGAAAGAGAAACGCTGACATTATTTAGAAGGAATTAGTGACGACCTTTTTCCCTATGTATGAGAAGTCAACATTTACCAAAAGGGGAGCTTATTTATAATTTTGTATTAACATAGATGTTAATGTATAATATTAATTGGTAGTGGGTGTGGTGTTGTGACATGCATGTGAGCTGTGATCCTATGCCTCTGAATTATAATACAGTGTTGTAAACCTGTTATCTTAATAATATGTATGTATATATGTAGTAAAAAACAAAGTAATGGAGCCATTTAACCCATAAATGAAAGAATACTTCGATGTAACAATGTTAATAAATAGTAAGCTGAGAAATATAAAACTTTGATCATTTTTTTAAAAAACAGCTTATGTTTAAGGTTTGTAAGACTTGGAAAAGTATATAAACATTCTGATATGTTATAATTTTATATATACTATTTATATGTGTATATATATGACTGTAATATATATACATATACAAATCTCTCAAAGCAAGTCTACACCTCTTGCTATTTAGCCATTACCTAAAAGGTATTAGAATTCAGATGAAGCCCCCTAGGTAAAAGCCAACTCCTTTGATTAAATCAGACCACTGAGATTAGTCCATGCAGTTTACCATGGAACATTAGAGAATCTGCAGAGTGAATTTCTCAGTAATTGTGTTAAGTGTACTGAGAAAATAATGCAAGCATGTGCAGCTGATGACGCCCAGCTGTGATTCTGGAATCAGCCCTCATCATTTCTCTACCTGCTCTAGACTAAAGCAAACAAAGATGGTGGGAACCAGGAGGTTGAGATCGCCCGCTGTCATAAGGGGCAATACTTTGGAGAGCTTGCACTGGTCACCAATAAGCCCAGAGCTGCTTCAGCTTATGCAGTGGGAGATGTCAAATGCTTAGGTAAGAAAAAGTTTTTATGCATTAATATTTGTTTTTATAAAATGTAGTACTTTTTCCCCCATTAGAAAACCTTGGTTTCTTCTACCAGCTCTTGCTCACATCTAGGCATGACAGTTTGTGTGACCAGCCAGAAATAGGTGAATGTATTATTTTAGCCAACGTTTCTGAACACTGATTATTGCCTGGGAACAAAACAGGTATGGCCTCTTGGCCATGTGAATACAACAATAATGAAGGCAGGTTTCCAGAACTGTGTGGGTACAGAAAGAACTGATGCTGCCGTCTCTACAGAGTCTCAAACTTAGGTGACAGTCTTCTTGTGGTCATATGAAAACATACTTCCAATAAACTTATGTCATTTGCGCCAACATAGATGGAGCTGGAACGAAAAAGAAAAATCTCGGATGATATCACTTATAGGGGGAACATAGGGAAACCAAACAAAGGATCAGGAAAACAATAAAACTTGCAGGAAAACCATAGATCTGCGACATAGAGTGGGGGAGGGAGAGGGGTCAAAATGGGAGGGAAGAGCACAAAGGACTATGTGATGGCCATAGGTGCTGTGGTGGTGGCCAAACTATGTGGACTACACGTGAGGGGACAAATCAAATATTGTACTAAAATAAACAACGATGTAAGCAAATAAATAAATGAATTTTAAAAAGAAAAATGTGTACTTCAAGAGTGAAAAGCTACCCCAAAAGCAAAAAATGCTTCCATGACAAGGGTAATTGGGTTGCACCAGGAACTTAGCTCCAGGAAGATTTGAAGAAAAAATAGAAAAGAAAACATCCTTTCAAGTGCCCAGTGCCCCCAAATCTAATCTCCTATAATGTGAATGTATGGGCATATTTAAGAAAAGGTTTGCATAAGAGAAATGATACCATCTCTTTTTAACATTGCAGTTATGGATGTACAAGCATTTGAGAGGCTTCTGGGGCCCTGCATGGACATCATGAAGCGGAACATCTCACATTATGAAGAGCAACTGGTGAAGATGTTTGGCTCCAGTATGGATCTGAACGATCCTGGGCAGTAGGTGTGCTGCACCCCAGAGCCTTCTCAGTGTGACACCAAAACCTTCCGGTCAGCCACACAACACACATAGAAAACAGACATGACAGAACTGTTCCTGCTGTTGCCATCACCACTGCCAATGCTATGGCTGTGGGCATTTATAAAACTTGAAAGTCAGCACTAAAGGATGGGTAGAGGTTCCACTCACACCTCCACTTTGCTCCTAAACGCCCATTATTAGACCACTTGTAATGATTACTCAACCCAATTTTTACATCTTTGGTTCAAAATGGCATGTCTCTCCAACAATTTAAGTGCCTGATAAAAAGTCCAAAGTGTAAACATCTTACTTTCCTCTCTTGCTGCTACTATTGCTTTTGGAAGTTACCACAGGTCTATACCGTTGTGTAACTGTAGACATCCTCCCCCAGCCTTTCTCAAGGGAGGAAATGGTGTAGCCTTTGATCTCCTCATTTGTCCTTTGAGAAAGTGTACATTTGTTCACAACTGTAGCCCTTGGCTTTACTGTGGGAAATGGTGGCAGAAATGATGGAGGTCTGTGGTCCTATGGCATTGTACGGTCTGCTGGCAGCTGCACACTTCACAGTTGTTTCAAACTCATAGTGATGTTTAGGGAAAGGCCCCTTCCAGGACCCAGCAGATCAGCACCCAAAACGTACTGATCAGTCATTGGGACCCATGAGAAAACAGAAAACTGGGATTCAGCACATTTAGGTAGTAAAGAACCAGAAGATTTTTGGGGTTGGGGAATTTTATCCTTTTTGGTTTTGTTTTATTTGATTTCTGTGCAGTTTGCATGAATGAATTGCTGTCCTTTTATAAGGAGCCAGGGTCTAGAAGCTCATTACCTTATCTGATCCAAACACTTTTCTGGACAACTTTGGCCATCTTTTGTTTCCAGTTGCCCCTACTGGCTAATGATAGTATACTGTACTACAAAGAGAACCCTTTCCTTGTACACCAGACTTGTTGCATAGCTTTGCTGTTGAACCATAAATTTTTTAACTCAAAGAAGAAACGGCTGTTATTTGAAATTAAAAGAATAATTTCTCCATTTAGGGAATACCTCTTGGACATATTTATATATATGGAGTTTTTCAGCTGACCCAGGCATTCATCCTAAAGTTCAACTCTTGTTAGTTTTCCAAAATTAGCATCATTTGCAATTTCATAGAATTACTGCAAAACCTTTATAGTTAAGATGTTGCAATATTTGGTATTCCAGTTGTTCCTTTGGAATTTTTTACTTCCAAAGAAAAATAATTTAGCTTGTATTTTAAAATTTTTTAAACCTTTTAATTATATCAAGTATAATCTTGATGACTTGCCCTAATTAGCTGTATTTCAGAATGAGTTTTTTTTCCTTCTTCAGAATGACTTAGAATCGGGTGTTGTAAGAGATCCTAAGAGCAGTGGGAAATTTACATAAATATAAATTTGAATATGATAGCCAAGTTTATGTTAAATAAAAAGATCCTTCCCAATATGATCTTTTTAAAAACCTGTATAACTTAATGAATCCCAAAAAGATTATCGGCTGGGGCTTGAGTCATTCCTGATGTAGAAAATGATGGTGCCCCACATAATCATCTTCTATTGTTCATATAAGCCAGGTATTTTTGCCACTAACATTGGTCAAAAGAGTTCCAGAGTGGTGACCCATTACCACCTTGATCAGTTCTCCCATTTCTTACATCTGTGAAGTAAAACAGAAGGATGCTTTTCAGAATGCCCTATGCAGCCTGAACTGCAACTTTCAGAATTGTGAATGGTTGGAACTAATACTCCAAAATAGGCAGCTAGTACTGGGAAAGCCACTGGTTTTTCCCATGATTTTCAAGGTTCTTTTTTTCTATAATATTGCTTCATTATTAAATAAAGACAGAAAGCAGACTTTGCACTTAAGCAGACAAGAAACATTTGTTTCTTGCAAAGGTAACAGGTACATTGGACTTAAGAAATATACAGAGCTCTAGCCTCCAATTAGGTGAGGACTCTGAACACTGAGTGTCTTGCCTTCTGTGCACCTCTCCACCCACCACCACCAGCGTTAGTTAAGGCTGTGAACTTCATTCTGGTCACTTCTGCAGGCTGCCCTCTTGCAAATCCCAGTTCAATTGTCCTCATCTCAAAGGTCTCTTTTTGGCACCCCAAGTCATTGATGTACAGAGTAGAATTCATCAAGGTTGTATCCTCCGGTTCTAACTACATATTGACATATGGATCATCAGTCCATGCTATTAATACATACTGTGTCCCTTGGAGTCTAGTTTGAGAAAAGAAGATTTTAAAGGGATTGGTGTGAGTGAAATAGGGCACAGCCATTACCAAGGTGCCAGGAATCTGACATCATTCAATTCTCTCTGCAGCATGGAGAATAAAGATGGCAGACAAAGTTTAGCTCAGAGCTGAGTTATTCACATTGTACCAGGCAAGCCCTGAATTGATAGTTGAGCTTCAGAAGAGTATATGTTGGGAAGAGATCTTTTTTAAATTTTTATATATATATATATATATATATATATAGTTTGCTTCTTTGGTTTAGAGCTTCACACCCGCTTTTCCAGCTTGTTATTGATTTTGGATAGTGGAGAATATCCTGAGAGCCTTGAGATCCAACCTGCAGTATTATCTTTCATTTTGGCCCCTGGTTTATTACACCCACTCTCTTTTATTGGTTGTATTCTTTGAAGGAAGGGTTCATGTGCTCTGTTCTGTTAGTTGATAGTCTCATATAATTGCTATAGATTCTCAGGAATCAGGGTGGAGCTTTTTTTGAATTATTATTTAGTGAGCAAATTTGGCAGCATAGTAGAAAGAAATGGTTCTCCAGCCAGGAGAAGTTATGTTTATCATTTTATTGCCCAGATTCTTTGCTTATATAAAGTAGTCAGTGAGAGGAGCCACTGGTGTACAGCAGCACCCTGGGTACACACCATTTCCGTGTCGTGTCACGTTGTACAAACAATCCTCTCTAGTTTAAAATAACTGAAAGAGCATTTTTTGCACAGAGAAAGGAAAAAGACCCGTGAATGTCATCTTTTATCTTTTGTTTTCAGTTGGCTGATGTTGGAATTTTTGTTCTTGACATGCACTTGTAAACCAATCTTGCCAAGATACAAGTTGTTTTGGTTTTTCACTAAAATTACCTCTTGTTCCTCTTGTCTTGACTGCTGACGTCCTTTAATGATTCTAATGTCTATTTTATGAGAAGCAGCCTTCCTGTGGGTTTCCTTTTACACAATGCAGGGCTATCTTTATACTTAAAAAAAAAAGAAAAAAAAAGAACACTGTCACTAACCTCATGTGGGATTTGCAGAAAACCATTTAGCCCACCTTGAGCAAACGATAGATTCTTCATTGTTTTCTTAAGATCATTGTAATAAAATAAATCTAATTCAGCATTATTGTGCTACCTCAAGGGTAAAGATCTTAAGGTTTTTGGTTTTGTTTTCTTTCTTTCTTTTTTTGGGCGGGGGGTTTTGGTCTTGAGTTCTATACATGGTGTTTGAAATATCTTTCAATTGAAATTATTTTTTAAATCATTGGGGAGAATTTTATTTTAATCCATTTTACACTTGTATTTTAATCTCAGAAGTGATTGGAAAGTGATCAATTCTTGCTCTGTAGTATTGAATATGTAATTAAATTGTTTGCTATAAATAAGGTTGGGGTTTTTTAAAAAGGAAACTCTAGGGCTCGGCTTTGCTCTTGGTTAATAAAGGCTGACAAATTATATGTCTGACTTTCCAGTGCAACCTTGTGTCGTGTGCTTGTCCTCTCATTTTAGAACTCCCGACCATCATAGCATTCATCTGGCAGATAAATTGTTGGAATTATGGTGTGAGCTCTTGAAAATAACTGAAACTCCCAGAGCAATGGTTGACCAAATATCTGGACTTCCTTTGGCCCAGTAAAGTTGATATAAAATTAGCCATCACAGCATGGTATTTGAATTGTTGGGGATTACCAATGAAGCCTAGCAGAAAACATCTTCAGTCTGGCAATATTATTTACATTATTTCCTTTTCTGTAACACATCTATAACCAAAACTATGACTGTGATAGCCTAATGTACATACAGTTTCTTTCCAAGTAACGAACAAAATCCCATTTTACAGCAAAACCATGTTCTAGTTTGATCTCGCCTTCATCTAGGCAGGGACACCTGGCAATATAAGAGAGCCAAGTAGTCAGTGAGTGTAAAAAATATCCACATGGGACTCAAAAAACAGGTAAAAAAATCCTCTCAAAACCAAACTGACGATATTTTAAGGCTTTAAAAATTAAATATGGTTTGATCTTCTGGGTTTGGTGGTGGTTTTGCTATGAAGAGTTAAGAGGTGGCAGGACACACGCAGCCTCTTTGGTATACCAACTGTGTCCCACATGTGCCCAAGTACAAGACTATTGAGAAGTTTGTCATTCAAAACTGGGGGCCACAGTCATCAGGGATGTAACCAAAACAAGCATCCTCATCCCTATGTGCTTCCATCATGTATATGAAATTACACTGTTGCTTGAGTTGTGCCATTCATGGCAAGGTATTCTCCTGAAGCCTGGAGAGATTGAATACCCCCACCCCGATTTAGACCTGTGGGTGCTGCCTCATCACCTCTGCCAAAGGAGCTGAGTCCTTAAGGACTGAAGAAAAATGGTCCTCTGGGAGAAAATAAAATGTAAATTACATACTTGTCCTGCCACTTCGTGTGTTTTTGTTTTTGTTTCCAATTTCAAGATGATATTTTCCAGTCTCAGTCACATAAGGACTGCTTTTGTGGCAGTCATTTCCAACAAGAAGCTAAAAATTTGTCCCATCAGTTGCCTATATACATACTCAGCAATTTCAGCTTAACAACTTTATTTTTTTTTTTAAGATTTATTTTTATTTATTTATACAAGCACTGGGTACAGTCAGAAGCACAGGAGGGTGAGAGAATTCACCAGAGCCAGAGGGGAGAGCAGAGCAGGCAGACTGACAAAATACACTGCTGAGGGGAGCAGTGGGCGGCAGGAGAGGTCTGCGCGCCATGTGGGACCCTCGCCTGGCAGCCGGGGATCGAACCGATGCTGTAGAGGCTGCATGCAGCTTCGCAACCCAGCGCTCAACCGCTGCACCACCGGGGAGCCCCTATTTTTTTTTTTTTTAAAGATTTATTTAAGCATGCTAAAACTGTGGTGTAAGCCAGAGGTGCAGGGGGGTGGTAAGAGTATTCACCAGAGACAGAGTGGGGAACAGAACAGGCAGGGTCACTGAAATACACTGCTGAGGGGAGCAACGGGTGAGACAGGAGAAGTCTACTGTGCCATGTGGGTTTGCTCCCTGGCGGGGAATCGAACTCGTGCTGCAGTGGCTGTGGAAAGCTTCATAGTGCTGACACAATCCCTTGCGCCACCAGGGAGGCCCTTTTGTGAGGTTTCTACTCCTCCCTTGCTTATTTCTTCCCAACTGGAATCCTTGATCCTGTGGATACTTCTTTCTGTTCTATAAAACCAGTTATCTTGCTTGTCTTTGTACAAAATCAAACAATGGGGCTGCTCCCCTCAGCAGTATATTTCAGTCAGTCTGCCTGTTCTGCTCTCCACTCTGTCTCTGGTGAATCCTCTCACCCCCCACACCAGAGCCTGTACCCCAGTTCTTGTATGCATAAATAAATAAATCTTTTAAAAAAAATTGAACAATGACCAGCATATTTGTAGACAGGCTTTGAGACTGGCCAGGCCAAAGTATGAAACTAAAGGGGGACTGTTAGCTACCCCAGACACTGGAAAAGCCAACAGAACCTTGACTGTTAGGGGAAAAGGATGTCCTGAGCTAATTCCATGCAGGCTTTGTGGACTCCACCCCCACTCCAGATCAAAGCCATCAATACATTGGGAAAGACAAATCCCATCACCACCAAAGGGAAGGTGGCTGGGACCTGAGGGTGGAGTTAAGCAGCCAGGTTTGGTAAAAAAAACCAAACACGTGGGCCTTGGGGGCTCTCGCTCTCTCGCTCGCTTCCTGGCTTCACAGCTCCTGGCTTGCGGCCAGCTCTCAGAGTGCCATTTGGGATTCCAGATCGGCAGATCGGGTAGGACACATTTAAAACTTTATCTCCCACTTTTCTCCCTGAGTTGTACATTTCCTCATTTGCCCTTCCCTTGTAAATAAACCTTTTATTAACTTTCTGTGTGTGCCTGCAGTATAGTATTGATAAGTCCTTTTAAGCACGCGGGTGAGGACCCACAGTCAGGCAACACTTTTTGTATTGGGACTGCCCTGTAACAGTTTGGCGCCCAGCGTGGTTTCCAAGATACACCCTTGGTTGACCAGCCCGAAGTAACTTTCCTTGCATTGGTCACCATAAGCACACTAGGTCTGCAGGACTCGCAGAGTAATCTTTGTCTCAAGTCCTGAAAAGTCTGCTTTTTTTCCTGTGCCTACAGCTCTTGTGGGTGTGTTTTTGACTCAACTATGGCCTCAACCATGAGCTTACACAGTTTCATCCCTAACTTGAGTTCTTTCAGTTTCCTTCCAGCCTTGAATTTAAGTAGCCTTCTTCCATTAAATATTACTACCAGTTTCATTAATGTAAATAATTTGATGAAGCCTGGTGTATGGCACATGATTTTACTACTGTGTACATACATGGGTGGTTTACAAGCCATCCCTTTACAGTCTGTGCTTCTGGGTATTTTTTTGGTAATATGTGTAAGCGCCATTTGCTACATTCTTGTTTCTATGAGAGGTAGATGTTCTACTTCTCATACTGAGAATGTGCAACAACACATTCAGGCTCTTAACTTAGCCATGCAATAACAAATTCAGGCTCTTAACCTGGCCATGCAACAACAAAATCAGGCCCTTGATTTAACTATTAAGTGTATGAGGGATGAGAACCGTAACATTTTTGAGTCAGCTTTAAAAGCATACAAGATCAAGTATGCAGGACCAGATACAGGTCACCCTCCATAAATTGGATATGGCGGAGGCTCGGCTGATGGCACAGAGAAAGGATAAACCTTCCCCTTCCCATGAGGACTGCCAGAGGGCAGAGTTAGAAGAGGAGGATCATCATATTTTAAATACCTTAAATACATCAGGACAAAATCCTTCTCCCCTTTTAAGAGCGCGGGTGAGGACCCACAGTCAGGCAACCCTTTTTGTATCGGGGCTGCCCTGTAACATGTTCACTGTGAGTCCATCTTGACAAGCAGAAAAATGGGCATTTGTCAATTAGCTCCTGGGGAAGGTAGTCAAAATATGGTACCAGCCAGTTTTCCTTGGCCTTTTTAGCCAGGGGTTCACTCTTTCCTCCTGCAGAATTGCACTGAACCAAGACTCAAAAGTCACTATATATACTGCTGGAAGCCAGGATCCAACAATATCCTTTCTAGCAAAATCTTCCAACTCCCAAAATGAAGAAGCTGGGATGTGCAGTTTCTTTCCTAGTAAATCGATAAAAAGAGTTCAAGTCCAGATCCACCAGGTAAGCAAATGAGTACTTTCCAAAATAATATACAAGCAGAGTTAAACTGGACATTTTCATTCTGAAAATGGAAGACATGGGCATGAAGGGAATCCTCCAATATATACTCCCATGCCAACCATGAGCCCAGCCTGGGCTGGAGGAGCCAGAATCCTGAAACTAAGCCTTAGACCTGCAAGATAGCAGAGGAGAGATTTTGGGACATGTGTGTCAGGCCTGGGCATGTCAGCACTGCAGATCAGCCACCCTGGACCCCTGGCGTCCTGTCCCAGAGTTGTGCAGCTGGCCCCATACTCGGTAAGAAATGAGGCTGCATTTAAACTCGCATCCCCCCACCCCAGAATTGGCTCAGCTGCTTTCCCTTGGCAGCTCTGGAAGCCAAAGAACTTTTCCTACCAGGATGGAGCTGGGGAATGAAAAGCCCATACTTGGGGTACTGCCCCTACAGTAAAATTTAATATGGTTCCACTAGGCTGACCAATGGAGGATGAGTTGGAACTCTTGTCCAGAGCCTCAACTGGCTCCTCTGTAAAGAAGGAAGCAGACTTATAGCAGGGTATCCTGCTGCACCTTCCCCTGCAGTGACCTTTAGGGCTAACCGCCCCTAGGTCCGGCTGGGCAACCAGCGCGCAGGGGAAGAACAGCAAAACCCTACCTGCTGCACCTCCCCCCGCAGTGATCTTTAGGAATGGCTTTCGCCACGGTCCCTAGGTCCGGCTGGGCAACCAGCGCGCAGGGGGAGAACAGCCTGAAGCAGAGGAAGTGCAACGGAAGTTCCCTGAAAAGGCAGAAGCTTATCAATAGATAACGACCACCAAGAACCACTACAAGAATGCTAAAAATCTTATCCCTCTTCCTAGAACTACAAACTTTAATCCCTTATTTGTCTTTCTAAACTTCCTTCTTTCTTCTATAATGGTCATTGCTTGTTATGTAGATCACCTCCCTGATAGTGGTAGACTGAGCCCATGAGCAAGCTAATTTCCTTGATATTCATTCCTGTGCTTTTGGAAAACATATATATACTGGTCACAAATTTAGAGAAAATTACACTCAGATTTTCACTCTTGAAGTGTGTCTGTTTGTCATTTCTTTCGCCGACGCCCTGACCATCCTGCACGCTTCTCTCAACCCTGAGGTGGCCTCATCGTCTACTGCTGTGCTGGTCCGTGGCAGTATCCACCCCACACTGTCTTGGTTTTGCCCACAGCCATTAATCCAGCAGGATCCAGCGTAGGCCCCTCACCTGTGTGGGCTGGGTCAAAGTCCAACAAAAGGACATGGGTCCAGCACTGGTGTGATCTCACTTTAAACCATCATCTCAGGCATACAGCAGTAGCAGCATCCACTCCTTGGCAGCTGGCTCACAATTGATAAATGAATAAAGTTAGTTTTATAGTTTTATAACCTGGGAGGGCTGGCCTTGCACCCAGGAACTGTTTAAAGGACCAGGTTTACAACATGCAGGCAAGGTACTTTGAGTGTGGGAGTGGCGCCTGCTGAGAGTGGGCTAACTTCCAGCACAATAGAAATTTCTTGGAGTGCCCCTCTGAGCTGTTTGCTATCTGGATGCCCCAGGGACAGAGTGTGCATGTCCAAGTGTGCTGGGAGCTAATTCTACCTAGACCCTGCAGGATCCTTTCCTTGGGAATTTTCCTGTCTTTTGTTCTGCGGGGAAAAAATTCTTCAGAATGATTTGTAACCAGCCCCTCCCTGCATGGCCCACATCCCAGGGCTCCAGGGACCAGGGCTCTGGGTGTGGTTTGTAGGGAACCTGAGTCTTGCCCCCGCCTGGGTAAGAACATCTTGTTCCCTATTCTGAGTTTTATGTCCAACCCTGGGGCTAGATGTGGGTGGGGTGGATTGTTTAAGGAAGATGGAGGAAGGGAGTGGGTTCTGTAGGATGTCTGATCCCAGCACAGCTGGACCCACTACAGCCCCACCTCCGCCCTTCCCCTGTCCTAGGCCCTAGAAAAGAGGAATAATTCTCAATGCTAGGCCAGGGCTGCATGGAGAGAGAGTGTAGCAGGGAAACACCAGCTCCCACACACAGACCCTGGAACTTCCCAACACCGTCTTGGTACACAACGGCTGCCTCAACCCCTGGGTCCAACTCTTATCCCAGTGCCTCCATCTTTGGAGGCTCTCTTTTGCAGTGGTCCGTTACTTCCTGGGACCTGGTTAGTTACATCCCTTTTTTTTAAGATTTATTT